TCATGGAACGTGTCTTTTCCATCCTGCGTGCTTGTATGGATGCTAGGCAGGAGAAGAGCTTTAGTGACCGCGTGGCAGCGTCCGCTCTTCTTAAGTACAACAGAGGCCGGGGAAAATAGGAATAGGGCGTGCTAAGAGCTGGGTGTAACCTGTAACCACGGTGTCTGGTTAGGTCGTTAGGTCTGGTGTCTGGCGCTGTCTGTTCGTGTGGTGTCGCTGTACGCTTGTTTTTCTGTTTGTTTTTCTGCGATATCACGTATCACGGATCACGGATCACGGTGAAGAAATCAGAATAACACAGAGCACAGAATCGACAACCAGCAAGACCACGTGTTTCAATGTGTCGGGAAAGACAGAGGCACGTGCGTACCTCGCGCAGTGACCCTCAACGTCATGTAAAAGCAACACCGTCGGCAGAAAGCGCGTGCATAAGTACACACATAAAACTGGAAAACAAGCATAACTGCGTGCATAATTCGCTGCTGTAAGCACATGCTCAGCCAGAAAAATCCGCATAAAAAAAAAAAAAATCCGCATATCAGGTATAAGCCTAGCGGTCCATCTGATGCCGCCACAAAAAGAGTCGTGCATAACCTCGTCCCTCACCGAGGGCGAGGTTACCCCTCGCAAGTTGTTGTTGTTGTTTTCTTCACATCAATCTCGTGTCAGCTGCTAATCCCAAGATCTAGCAAAGACTCATCCGTGGTCATAAAAATGCTAGAGCCATCAGAAGATCTAAAGAACACCAAGCCCGAGGAGGTACACCTACAATTCCTGCAGCACGTTTGCGTGCTCACAACTGAATTACACGCCCACACACTACAATTCGATTTCAGCAGCAGCATCACTCCCCCTTGTCCCGCACTCGACCAAATGAATGTCGACTACAGCGTACTGCTGTCTGAAGTGCTGTCTGTACAATAAAAACACCATGGTACATGGAACACAAGCTCGGGGCATGCAGCTGCTGTCTGAAGTGCTGTCAGAAGNTTACACGCCCACACACTACAATTCGATTTCAGCAGCAGCATCACTCCCCCTTGTCCCGCACTCGACCAAATGAATGTCGACTACAGCGTACTGCTGTCTGAAGTGCTGTCTGTACAATAAAAACACCATGGTACATGGAACACAAGCTCGGGGCATGCAGCTGCTGTCTGAAGTGCTGTCAGAAGGAGTCCGTCCGTGGACATACAATGAAGAACAACCAACCAAAGCCATGATTGCAATTGACCAATCTATCCAGATCATCTGTGTTGACACAGCAGTTTAAACATCGACACTGGCTAGGAATCGTTCCACATTGAAGGAGTCTTCCACGATACAGGTACACAATTCCCAGTTTCAATCAAAACTGGGTCCTGTGGGCACCCACGTGCAAGGTCCGTATTTGGGCTCCGCCCTTGTAACGCCTCCTCGTCCAGGCTCAACTCCTTTCGTTTCCGTTCGAAATCAAGTAGGCTTATATACCTGATATGCGGGCATTGTTTTCGACATAAACGGCCTTGGTGCGCATAGGCAAACGCATAATGTCGACCGTGCATACTATTCTTTTTTGGCGCATAATGTCGCGCAGATATGGGGATACTGTGCATAAACGTGGTTATGCCTGCTTCATTTTGAGGATAGGGGTGCATCAGGAGTGGGTTTAGGTACCTCCTGTGGCACCAGCAACCAGCAACTTGAACAACAACGAACGCTTACTGCTTAACTGAGCAACATTATCCTTAAACATAGCCCATATTATTATTCACTCATTTAGAGAGGAAGGAGCGGCGCTTGTTTAAGGCGAGCTCTGGGCTCTGAGTCTTTGAGTTGTGAGGTGTGACTAGGTAGGTAAGTCCTAAAGTCTTGTAATTAATCAGCGGATCAGCGGCGGGTTTTCGGGTTTTTGAGTTTTTGACAAAAAAAATTACGCGCAGCACAACAGCACAACAGACGGCAGACACCCACAGACCACCACACCACCGACCAAAGACCACCGCACAGCACCCAGCACAACTAGTGAAGGCAGACCGCTATCCGCGATCTTCGATCTTCACCAATGGCAAGCGCCGCATCGGCTCTTGTGGCGTATGCTGGTAGTAGCTCGGATGATGACGAACCACCACCAAAACGCCGCACGGCACCAGCAGCCGCTTCCGGTGCTTCGTCAGGACAGGCCGCGAGGCAAACGAGTATCTCAGGGTTCTTCCGGCTCCCACAACCAACTCCACAGCAGCAGAAGGCGAAGCAGAAGAGAGACGAAACGCGGAATCGAGAGGCCCTAGAAACTATGGCCAATCCCACCGCGCCAGAGAGGGCAGCTCACATCGACAAGACACGAGTCATCAGGAGCAACAGAGCCGAGAGGGACAAGTGGCAGCGGGAGGAAGAGGAGGACGAGGAGGAGGACGAGGACGGGGAGGAGGAGGAAGAGGATCTGGAGAAGCGGTGGCAGAAGCAGAGGGAGAGGATCGGGGACCACCCCGATGCGCAGCAACACGAGACTATCGCCATCTTCGAGGCTGCACGGCTCCTTGACTTCCGCTACGTGAAGCAGCATCAGTTGCATGTTGCTGACATCGACCTCCTTTGTCGCTTCCCCTTCGTTACGGAAAATGATGTCGCGAGACTAAAAGATCAGATGGACGATTACAATATCGCCGCCTCTGGAGTTGATACCGGCTACGACTTGTGGTCATTCTGGCATGACAACAGGCACAAGAGTAGCCTTTGTCACTGGTATGGAGTTGCGAAGGACATCGTTTTGCTCCAACCGTCCTCTGCCTTCATGGAAGGTGTCTTTTCCATCCTGCGTGCTTGTTTGTATGGATGCTAGGCAGGAGAAGAGCTTTAGTGACCGCGTGGCAGCGTCCGCTCTTCTTGAGTACAACAGAGGCCGGGGAAAATAGGAATAGGGCGTGCTAAGAGCTGGGTGTAACCTGTAACCACGGTGTCTGGTTAGGTCGTTAGGTCTGGTGTCTGGCGCTGTCTGTTCGTGTGGTGTCGCTGTACGCTTGTTTTTCTGTTTGTTTTTCTGCGATATCACGTATCACGGATCACGGATCACGGTGAAGAAATCAGAATAACACAGAGCACAGAATCGACAACCAGCAAGACCACGTGTTTCAATGTGTCGGGAAAGACAGAGGCACGTGCGTACCTCGCGCAGTGACCCTCAACGTCATGTAAAAGCAACACCGTCGGCAGAAAGCGCGTGCATAAGTACACACATAAAACTGGAAAACAAGCATAACTGCGTGCATAATTCGCTGCTGTAAGCACATGCTCAGCCAGAAAAATCCGCATAAAAAAAAAAAAAAATCCGCATATCAGGTATAAGCCTAAAATCAAGTTAAAGGCGACAAACATGCTAATACTATGATAGGACACGGTGAAAAATGCGGACACAAACGACCTCCATACTCCACGACCCCAGCACGGTTGGCCGCTAACAAATGTACATTGCTGCCGGGACATACAGAGCAGCTGCAAACGAAGTGTGCTGTGCGACAAGAATAGGGCTGTTTGCTGCGTTTTTAACGCCGACGAGGAGGTCTGCATTCCATGACCATCATGCATCAGTCATCACACAGGACGAGAGGACCAGACGATCGACCACGAATCGCAACCCTCGTCGACAGTGGAACCAAGAATTAAATAATCATCAATCTCAACGGTTTCCTGTACCCGTCCTGACATGTGTCCACATGCATACTTACAGCAGTAGAGTGAGGTCGACGCACTGGTCGACATGTGTCCACATTCGGCAGTGGGTCAACGCGCATAAGTCGACAGCGTACGATGCTGGGCAGATGACGCACCAGACGACAACACGTATATTCGTAGTAGTGTAACTTTGTTTTACTACAAGAAGCACGGCTGAGGACGGCGGTTTCTGGAGCGACCTCTTCTTCCCTTCTCCCTGTTCAAGGTGCGCCCGCCGAAGGCGGCGGAGGGGCCGGAGGTGGCTGCCATTTGAAAACCAATGACAATGTATTCTCACAGCAGCAGTGTAGATAGTACGATCAGCGTTATTACATGTTAGCTGGCTGGAGTTTTGGCGATTTCTGGACCTATCACCTCTTCATTTTTTTTTTTCTTCTCCCCCGTTCAAGGCGCGGCCACCGGAGGAGCCGGAGGTGGCCGCCATTTGTTAGTAGATATGTGCCTCCATGACCACCCACGGAGGTTGCCGTGCCCACCCACGGCACCGTGCCCACCCACGGTATAATGAATTTCTGGGGGCTAGTAACCCAGGACCGATGCCGACGATATATAACCCTGATTAACACACACGCGTGCTCTCCCAGTACGGACCCGCTCCCCGAGTAAACACACTAATGCGCGGGCTCTCACGAGGGGCCCCGCACTTGGACCCCCAATAGTATACCCCCCCCACTACCATACTCTGCAGATCGGATCTTGTATCCAAGTACCCCAAGCAGCCCCCCTGCTTGATACAACATACGATCTGGATGTCCTTCGTGGATAATCTTTCAACCAATACAAAAACACAAATAACCACTTGAGAAACATGCTCTACAAAACTGGCTACGCATTAAACACAAAGCGTCTCCATCAGTTTACCCACGACCCCAATTATTCAGAAACCGTCAAAAAAAGAGTCATCCTCAGAAGATTATCCAACAAGTACCTGCGCTACATCAGAAAAGCGTCGGAACGGTGACGTGCAAATCTGGAAAACCGCTTCAAAAGAGTTGACACACCATCCTCGAACAAAACAAAGTTTCAATTTCTCGACCAATCAAAACGAGCATTCGGAAAGCACAAGGGCCCCAACCATCACTCGTAAAAACATGTCAAATCCTTCCTCCAATGTAACATCCAAGGACCAAAAACTAAACAGCGCGCACATGCGACGCGGTGCCACCGCTGTTGTCCAAGAAACTATAGAAGAATATAAATACGTTGTCATGCAAACAGCCCCCCTGCTGCAACATCTCCCGAAACATACACATCTGTGCCTCTCCCTTCACACTGGTTTTGGCACAAAACAAAATCAATATCAATATATAGTCATGCAAACAGCCCCCCTGCTGCAGCATCTCCCCAAAACATGCATGTAGATCTGCCTGCTATTTATTTCTCTCATTTCTAACGCACAGACGATCTCAAAACATCAAAGTGTACGAAACAGCCCCCTAGCTGGAATATTCCCTGTAAACACAAGAAAAACAAGTACGCATTCGCTGGTGTTGCGTCTGGAATCATGATAACACATCTCCTCCCCCTGATTCTTGGCGCAACACAGCAGAACGAAGAAAACGCAAAGCACATCATAACGAAACAAATCCAACTTCAGAACTCGACGAAAGCACTCTGCTCTGCTGGTACTACGGCTAGAAACATGGCACACAAATCCCCCCCCATGGTTCTTGACAGCAGTACAATCAGCAGAGTTCGACAGTTGTCATTGAATTTCGCATGTTGCACAAATGTCTGAAACACAACAAGTCAAAACCCGGGGAAAAAAAAAAAAACTCAACCGCAAACAGGAAACTGCAAGGGTAAACTCTCCCCCCGCTCGCGCGCCTTCTCACCCCCGCTCAAACTGCTGCCGTTGCCGGTGGCGCCGCTCCCGCCGTCGCTGCTGCCGAAGCCGCCGCCGCCGCCGCTGATGCTGCGGCCGCTACTACCGTCACCGCCGTCGCTGTTGCCGCCCCCCCCGGACCTCTGGCCGAGGCCGTCACTCCCACTGCCGCCAACGGAGCTCTGGCCGAAGCCACCACTGCCGTCGCCGCTCCTGATGACGCTGCTGCCGGGGACGGCGCGCTGACCGAAGCCGCCCGCGCCGCCGCCGCCGCTCCAGGTGGTGTCGGTTGGTGCGAAGCATCACCCCCCGGCATGTGCCTATGCATCTCTACCTCGATCGAATGGGAGGTCCACTCCCAGCACGGCCCCCTTGGTCGCTCTCCTCCACCAGGAACGATTCCCTCTGTTAAAGGGATGCGTTGACGCTCCACCCTAGGCTGCGCCATCTCCGCCGTTGCCGCTGTTGCTGCGGCGGCCACCGTTGCTCCCGTCCTCCTTACCACCGCTCTTGTGGTCTCCCTTCTCACGCACCTCCTGCGCAAATAATCCTCCCGGGCCACAAGGGAAGGACGCGCCCCTCTCGAAACCGTAGATGCCGTCGTCTCCACAGCTGCTGCAGGTCTGGCCACCGCCGCTGCCGGCGAATGCACATTGGCTTCCCCCTCTGCCCAAACATTGGAAGAGGCTCCACTGCTTCACGCCGCTGCTTTCGACTCTCCTGCTGCTGACGACAGGCTCCTCCAGGACCAACACTGCTGCTTCCGTCGCTCTTGCCACTTCCTCCGACTGTTCTTCACACCCCACCGCCGCCGCATCCGTCGCAGCAGCTGTCGCGGTTGCTCCAGGCGGCATTGCTCTTGCCACCGCAGCTNACTTCCTCCGACTGTTCTTCACACCCCACCGCCGCCGCATCCGTCGCAGCAGCTGTCGCGGTTGCTCCAGGCGGCATTGCTCTTGCCACCGCAGCTCTGGTCGAAGCCGCCGTTGCGGCCGCCGCTGCGGATGCCGTTCCACAACCCCCAACCGTTGAAGATGGGGCAGCAGGACGGATCTCATCGACATGGTCTGCTGTGGGTGATGGCACAAGTGAGGCTGCTGGCTGCTGCTGCTGCTGCTGCGACGGTGACTGCTTGGTTGGGTCGTTGCGATGCCGCGGACGGTGAAACTACAACAACGCGGTGCGGTCCGATCTGTCGCATTGCTAAACTTCTACCGTACCCGGCCTCCATGAGATGCAGCTCTGCGCGTTTCCGCGCTACTGCAGGTGCTACACGTGTCGCGGGTCGCGGGGGAGAATGACCGGCGTGGTGCGTAACTGCGGTGGGAGAAGCTACGTTGGCGGGGGCTTTTACTGGCAAAGACGCCGCAAACGAACCGGCAGCAGTCCCCCCCACCTTCTCACCAACAAACACCCCGCCACTCACCTGTCCGACCATACCGCCGGTGGAGCCGACAGCCAGCTGCTGTTGCCGCGGCTGCTGCTGAAATCCACCAGCGCTGCCATACACCACGCATGGCTTCTGCTGCTGTTGCTGTTGCTGCTGAAACACAGACCCACCGCCAAAGCCACCGTTCCTCGCTGCTGCTGAAACGGTCCGCGGGCGAGGTTGATTGTGTAATAGTCTACTTATGATGTACATGACCTTTCTCTCCACAGCAGCTGCATTCTCCGTAATAGCGAGCTGGCGCCATCCAGATGTTAGCGGCGTGTCCAAGGCGTCCACAACTGTCGCACGTGGGAACAGGTGACCCCTGTGGGGAGGTTTGGGGCTGAGGTCAGACGGCATTCCTCCCGTAGTCGAAAAGACGTGCTGCAGCAACAGTAGTACGGTGCTGCTGCTGCTCGGGATGGGGAGCAGCGGGAGGGCGTGGGCAATCTTTGAGCACCAGCTGCTCTGCTGCTGCACTCCTCTCGTCACCTGCTGCTGCTGGTATCCGCCGTACCGCACATGGGGCTTCCTCCCCTCTCTCTCTCTGAAAACAATTGGTTTGGGTCGATCCTTCCGTCCTTGTCTAAAAATAATCTACTCCCGGATCCACCGCCGGGCCCACCCCTGGCATGTACACCTCCTCCAGCTGCCCACCCAGCTTGACCACCTGCTTCCCTCCCGCCAGCCTCCAGTGACGCGATCCTCTCCAACGCGCCTTTCAGAGTCTCCTTTTTTTGCTCATCCCATGCCTCCTCAGCTGCTGCCCTCGCTGTATCTTCTTGTTCCGCCATCGGTCAATTACGATTAATCGTGTTGGTAGATATATGCCTCCGTGACCACCGACGGAGGTTGCCGTTCCCACCCACGGCACCGTGCACACCCACGGTATGATAAATGTCTGGGGGCTAGGTTAACCCAGGACCGATGCCGATGATATACAACCTCAGACCTTGATTAAGAGCCTGTCTTATCGAAATCGGAAAAATCTGCTTCCAGGAAAAAAAA